TGTAAAAGTAGCATTAGTCATAATTAAAGCTGAAAGATCAACTCATCACATCAACTGTTAAATCTTAAAAAAGAGATTGAAAAGGTGAAAGAAACTTGTACAGTACAAGGAAGCGTTTGTAACTTTCAATTACTGTTTGAAGTGAATTAGAGAGAAGTTGAAAGCTTATTCAATTATATACATGCACAAATACGAGCGTGCTATAACTCACCAGTAGTACCACTTTTTGCATCAAAATAGGCACTTTCAGATCACCGACAGTAGATAGCCTGATCTATATGTGGAGGAATCTGCTTGATCTCTGTCCCAAGTTCCTGTTCAATCCTGTACCTGCAAGAATACAGATACAAGAAAAACAAAAAAGATAGTTATAATATGGACGACCCTCTTATATTGTCATAAACAAAAGAAATGGCATTCTTACAAATTGAAGCGGTCCTCGTAAGTAATCAGGTTCACAGCTACACCAAGGTGTCCAAACCTTCCAGATCGACCAACCTACAGCATTCAATAACATCCATAAGAAAATCACGCAATGAGCAGGAATAGAAAAGAAGCATCCCAGCTAACTTACCCTGTGAAGATAAGTTTCTGAGTTCTTAGGAAAATCAAAATTGATAACGACATTGACAGCTTGAATATCAATACCTCTTGTAAATAGATCTGCAATATGAACATAGGAGGAAAGGGAAAAAAATAATCATATGGCAAGGGAAAGAATCGGAATCAAAATTGAATGAATGGCGAAGGTCAAATCCATTTATTCTCCATCTGTGAGATAACACAGAGTAATATGCCCAGTTCAAGATCCAAAATGAAATTTCAAAAGGGAAAAAAATAAACTAGCAATATCAAATGAATGTTTCAGTAGATCCTTAACGCATCGATAGAGAGCCAGATTTGGGGATATAGTCATTAATAGGACAAAACTACCAATACAATAATCGATACATAGCAAGTGATGTTAATTTCAATAAATCACGGCATTATTTTAAATGTCTGCAAGACACAAAGAACTTTATTCCATCCAAAAGCTTGTGAACAAGATGGAGGGTGGAAAATTTTAAGAAGAAAAAAAAACCATCAACTGATTTCTAATTTCCACTTCAATACTAAGAAGGTGATCGAGGAGGTACCTGGCATTAAAGACTATACACGGCGAATAATCATTCACATAATATTGATGATGAAAAAGTCATGAGAGAAAGTTCTGGTTGGTATACTCGTTATTGTTCTACACATTTATTAACTATATCATTGAAGGATCAACCAATGTTCAAAAATATCCAATCGAGCACCGAGGCATTTTACCTATTAGGCTACGAGTAAGCCTCAACGTGAACAAATTAAGTAACTCAGAAAATAAAAATCTACAAAAATATGTCCGTACTAATTTAAACCATCTTGAAAATACATAATAAAAAGAAAAAAA